GTGCTTGTATCGTAGTTCTTGATTGAATTGCGTTAATTCTGGGATTCCTAGTTCATACTACAATTCAAATAATTCGAACATTATACTGGCGTCGCGATGGAGCCTGCGATGGAAAAGTTAGATATTCATTCAACTTCTGAAGCTTTTGAGGATTACTTTGAAAGGTTCGAAATCTGGGCTGTGACCGAGAAAGATGATGAGGATGCTAATACTGTGGCACATTTCCTCACATTCATCGGAAAAGAACCGTACAGCTTATTAAAACTCTGGCTATGCCGGAAAAGCCTATCTCGCTTCCTTATACAACTCTCAAGGAACTGCTGCTGGACTATGTTAATTATACAAATTTCGAATGCAGTACAAGAGGGAGATCTCGTAAAATAGTTCATGACGATATAAAAAATTCTACTACATTACTTCATTATCCCTATCCAGTGCATACTCAAGGCTATGCAGATGATTCATTGAGGAGTTGCAATGCATTTCACGAAGATGGGCACATGTTTGGTCAGTGTTTGTCCTGTCGCATGTTCCACTCTCTTAATTCATGTAAATTTCGTAATTCTAAATGCTTTAAATGTGGTGATATTGAACATATTCAATCAGTCTGTAATACTAATGTTGATCTTACTGCAACTAATATTGTCTTGTAATTCTGATTCTACTAAGTCGAGTATTTATAATGATGATTTATCTTTATCAACGATTGCAATATACAGTGTGGAGTCACATAGCAGTTCAGAGTTAAATGAAACTCAGAATTCTTGCGCGACAACAGTTTCTAACCAGTCGATTTATCAGATATGGCTTTTCCTAATGGTTCACATATTTCTGATGAAATTTTTTACAAATCGGAGAAAATATGTTGAATGGACATAATTATAATCGAAAGCCTGATGTAGTTTTGATAAATGCTGATTTTTCTGATGATCCATTACTCTGCAATGAAATTCTCAATTAATTTCATGAAAATATTTCAGAAGAATCAAATCCTGATGTCATATCATATATTACCTATCCTCATAATGCATTTGTTTCTTGTGGGAAACTTGTTCAATGCGAAGCACGAGTACTAAATGAGTTCGATTTTGATTATATTTCGGATGATTTCACACCAACTCCTGTTTACCCTTATCACAAAAACAGTTCTAATGTTTACTCTAAACAATGTGAGAAATATGTTTTAAATGAAGCCACATTATTCATAACTTGAGGATATAAAGATCCAACATTATTTCGTGGGGGAGGATAGTGTTGAAAAATCTATGGTTCGAATTCTAGATATTAATGATTTCATTACAAAACCGACATGGTGATTGTATACAATTCCCGATGAGCTTGTTCCGATTTCGTTTGTTGATTCCAATACTAATGAGCACATTCTAGATACTACAAAGTTTTTATCTAATAAAATGTCGGACAGACTCAGGATGAACATGAAAAGAAGATGTACAACCGATTACAAACACTTATACTCCTATTTAAGCTGTGGCGGATGTGGTGTTTGAATTAACTAATTATTCTATTGTACTTGTTGAATGTTCCATTTCGAATTCTAAATACAATACATTCGTTTGTGCTTGTATCGTAGTTCTTGATTGAATTGCGTTAATTCTGGGATTCCTAGTTCATACTACAATTCAAATAATTCGAACATTATACTGGCGTCGCGATGGAGCCTGCGATGGAAAAGTTAGATATTCATTCAACTTCTGAAGCTTTTGAGGATTACTTTGAAAGGTTCGAAATCTGGGCTGTGACCGAGAAAGATGATGAGGATGCTAATACTGTGGCACATTTCCTCACATTCATCGGAAAAGAACCGTACAGCTTATTAAAACTCTGGCTATGCCGGAAAAGCCTATCTCGCTTCCTTATACAACTCTCAAGGAACTGCTGCTGGACTATGTTAATTATACAAATTTCGAATGCAGTACAAGAGGGAGATCTCGTAAAATAGTTCATGACGATATAAAAAATTCTACTACATTACTTCATTATCCCTATCCAGTGCATACTCAAGGCTATGCAGATGATTCATTGAGGAGTTGCAATGCATTTCACGAAGATGGGCACATGTTTGGTCAGTGTTTGTCCTGTCGCATGTTCCACTCTCTTAATTCATGTAAATTTCGTAATTCTAAATGCTTTAAATGTGGTGATATTGAACATATTCAATCAGTCTGTAATACTAATGTTGATCTTACTGCAACTAATATTGTCTTGTAATTCTGATTCTACTAAGTCGAGTATTTATAATGATGATTTATCTTTATCAACGATTGCAATATACAGTGTGGAGTCACATAGCAGTTCAGAGTTAAATGAAACTCAGAATTCTTGCGCGACAACAGTTTCTAACCAGTCGATTTATCAGATATGGCTTTTCCTAATGGTTCACATATTTCTGATGAAATTTTTTACAAATCGGAGAAAATATGTTGAATGGACATAATTATAATCGAAAGCCTGATGTAGTTTTGATAAATGCTGATTTTTCTGATGATCCATTACTCTGCAATGAAATTCTCAATTAATTTCATGAAAATATTTCAGAAGAATCAAATCCTGATGTCATATCATATATTACCTATCCTCATAATGCATTTGTTTCTTGTGGGAAACTTGTTCAATGCGAAGCACGAGTACTAAATGAGTTCGATTTTGATTATATTTCGGATGATTTCACACCAACTCCTGTTTACCCTTATCACAAAAACAGTTCTAATGTTTACTCTAAACAATGTGAGAAATATGTTTTAAATGAAGCCACATTATTCATAACTTGAGGATATAAAGATCCAACATTATTTCGTGGGGGAGGATAGTGTTGAAAAATCTATGGTTCGAATTCTAGATATTAATGATTTCATTACAAAACCGACATGGTGATTGTATACAATTCCCGATGAGCTTGTTCCGATTTCGTTTGTTGATTCCAATACTAATGAGCACATTCTAGATACTACAAAGTTTTTATCTAATAAAATGTCGGACAGACTCAGGATGAACATGAAATGAAGATGTACAACCGATTACAAACACTTATACTCCTATTTAAGCTGTGGCGGATGTGGTGTTTGAATTAACTAATTATTCTATTGTACTTGTTGAATGTTCCATTTCGAATTCTAAATACAATACATTCGTTTGTGCTTGTATCGTAGTTCTTGATTGAATTGCGTTAATTCTGGGATTCCTAGTTCATACTACAATTCAAATAATTCGAACATTATACTGGCGTCGCGATGGAGCCTGCGATGGAAAAGTTAGATATTCATTCAACTTCTGAAGCTTTTGAGGATTACTTTGAAAGGTTCGAAATCTGGGCTGTGACCGAGAAAGATGATGAGGATGCTAATACTGTGGCACATTTCCTCACATTCATCGGAAAAGAACCGTACAGCTTATTAAAACTCTGGCTATGCCGGAAAAGCCTATCTCGCTTCCTTATACAACTCTCAAGGAACTGCTGCTGGACTATGTTAATTATACAAATTTCGAATGCAGTACAAGAGGGAGATCTCGTAAAATAGTTCATGACGATATAAAAAATTCTACTACATTACTTCATTATCCCTATCCAGTGCATACTCAAGGCTATGCAGATGATTCATTGAGGAGTTGCAATGCATTTCACGAAGATGGGCACATGTTTGGTCAGTGTTTGTCCTGTCGCATGTTCCACTCTCTTAATTCATGTAAATTTCGTAATTCTAAATGCTTTAAATGTGGTGATATTGAACATATTCAATCAGTCTGTAATACTAATGTTGATCTTACTGCAACTAATATTGTCTTGTAATTCTGATTCTACTAAGTCGAGTATTTATAATGATGATTTATCTTTATCAACGATTGCAATATACAGTGTGGAGTCACATAGCAGTTCAGAGTTAAATGAAACTCAGAATTCTTGCGCGACAACAGTTTCTAACCAGTCGATTTATCAGATATGGCTTTTCCTAATGGTTCACATATTTCTGATGAAATTTTTTACAAATCGGAGAAAATATGTTGAATGGACATAATTATAATCGAAAGCCTGATGTAGTTTTGATAAATGCTGATTTTTCTGATGATCCATTACTCTGCAATGAAATTCTCAATTAATTTCATGAAAATATTTCAGAAGAATCAAATCCTGATGTCATATCATATATTACCTATCCTCATAATGCATTTGTTTCTTGTGGGAAACTTGTTCAATGCGAAGCACGAGTACTAAATGAGTTCGATTTTGATTATATTTCGGATGATTTCACACCAACTCCTGTTTACCCTTATCACAAAAACAGTTCTAATGTTTACTCTAAACAATGTGAGAAATATGTTTTAAATGAAGCCACATTATTCATAACTTGAGGATATAAAGATCCAACATTATTTCGTGGGGGAGGATAGTGTTGAAAAATCTATGGTTCGAATTCTAGATATTAATGATTTCATTACAAAACCGACATGGTGATTGTATACAATTCCCGATGAGCTTGTTCCGATTTCGTTTGTTGATTCCAATACTAATGAGCACATTCTAGATACTACAAAGTTTTTATCTAATAAAATGTCGGACAGACTCAGGATGAACATGAAAAGAAGATGTACAACCGATTACAAACACTTATACTCCTATTTAAGCTGTGGCGGATGTGGTGTTTGAATTAACTAATTATTCTATTGTACTTGTTGAATGTTCCATTTCGAATTCTAAATACAATACATTCGTTTGTGCTTGTATCGTAGTTCTTGATTGAATTGCCTTAATTCTGGGATTCCTAGTTCATACTACAATTCAAATAATTCGAACATTATACTGGCGTCGCGATGGAGCCTGCGATGGAAAAGTTAGATATTCATTCAACTTCTGAAGCTTTTGAGGATTACTTTGAAAGGTTCGAAATCTGGGCTGTGACCGAGAATGATGATGAGGATGCTAATACTGTGGCACATTTCCTCACATTCATCGGAAAAGAACCGTACAGCTTATTAAAACTCTGGCTATGCCGGAAAAGCCTATCTCGCTTCCTTATACAACTCTCAAGGAACTGCTGCTGGACTATGTTAATTATACAAATTTCGAATGCAGTACAAGAGGGAGATCTCGTAAAATAGTTCATGACGATATAAAAAATTCTACTACATTACTTCATTATCCCTATCCAGTGCATACTCAAGGCTATGCAGATGATTCATTGAGGAGTTGCAATGCATTTCACGAAGATGGGCACATGTTTGGTCAGTGTTTGTCCTGTCGCATGTTCCACTCTCTTAATTCATGTAAATTTCGTAATTCTAAATGCTTTAAATGTGGTGATATTGAACATATTCAATCAGTCTGTAATACTAATGTTGATCTTACTGCAACTAATATTGTCTTGTAATTCTGATTCTACTAAGTCGAGTATTTATAATGATGATTTATCTTTATCAACGATTGCAATATACAGTGTGGAGTCACATAGCAGTTCAGAGTTAAATGAAACTCAGAATTCTTGCGCGACAACAGTTTCTAACCAGTCGATTTATCAGATATGGCTTTTCCTAATGGTTCACATATTTCTGATGAAATTTTTTACAAATCGGAGAAAATATGTTGAATGGACATAATTATAATTGAAAACCTGATGTAGTTTTGATAAATGCTAATTCTTCTGATGATCCATTACTCTGCAATGAAATTCTCAATTAATTTCATGAAAATATTTCAGAAGAATCAAATCCTGATGTCATATCATATATTACCTATCCTCATAATGCATTTGTTTCTTGTGGGAAACTTGTTCAATGCGAAGCACGAGTACTAAATGAGTTCGATTTTGATTATATTTCGGATGATTTCACACCAACTCCTGTTTACCCTTATCACAAAAACAGTTCTAATGTTTACTCTAAACAATGTGAGAAATATGTTTTAAATGAAGCCACATTATTCATAACTTGAGGATATAAAGATCCAACATTATTTCGTGGGGGAGGATAGTGTTGAAAAATCTATGGTTCGAATTCTAGATATTAATGATTTCATTACAAAACCGACATGGTGATTGTATACAATTCCCGATGAGCTTGTTCCGATTTCGTTTGTTGATTCCAATACTAATGAGCACATTCTAGATACTACAAAGTTTTTATCTAATAAAATGTCGGACAGACTCAGGATGAACATGAAAAGAAGATGTACAACCGATTACAAACACTTATACTCCTATTTAAGCTGTGGTGGATGTGGTGTTTGAATTAACTAATTATTCTATTGTACTTGTTGAATGCTCGACTTCGAATTCTAAATACAGTACATTCGTTTGTACTTGTGTCGTAGTTCTTGATTGAATTGCGTTAATTCTGGGACTCCTAGTTCATACTACAATTCAAATATTATAGTGACCCAACTAGTAATCCGTCATTTCACTAATACATGTTAAACAGTCTTAATTATAAGAACTCATGAATTAAGAAACTGATGAAAGTTTATCATTTTATCTTATGATAATAAAAATATCAAGTAGTGTTATCTTTCTGTAATATAATTACTACTTATGATTGCAAACTAGATGTTTCTTCCTTACCCTCGAAGTTCTTTAGATATAAAGTACAAGGTAGGAACCATCATAATTCTGTCATCCATTTATGTTAGTATGCTATCTGTATGAAATGATAACTGATTCGTACATTAATGTGCGTTTTATTCATAACCTTAATACAACATACTTCAGAAAGTTAGCGAATTTATAATCATTCCGTCCCGGGAATCTTCAGATCCAATCTGTTATATCATAATGAAGATTACATTACGAATAACGTCTGAGAGCTATCAATGGACTAATATTATCTATATATTCTTATGGCATAAATATTCAGTAACTAGATTATGTATATCTATCTCGGTGGTGATCAATTTCATGTGTGTAAAGTCCTTCGTAGTGCAGATCACCACCCAGTGATTAATCAATTGTGATCACATCTGTCCCACAGGAGGTCGGTCACGGCTCGGATAGCACAATAGTGACGCCTCCGACTGTGAAGCTGAGTGACACGGGATCGAATCCGTCAGTGAGCACCAGTTCCCTCAAGATTACAGGTACACCTTGCTGACGAGTGCCAAGTAGCACAAAGCCCGGGTCCAGGATTTCCTGTTGACTACCCGCAACCGCCATCTAATCTCAACATAGTGCACACAATGTCGAGTTACCTAGACTAGTGGCCAGACTACAACTTGGTCAATAGAATTCGATCTTCACTAATAAAGAATCGACGCACGTGACATTGATCACCACTCGGTGGTCAATCAATTGTGCATCTGTATTCTCTGTCCTCAATTTAGGCTTAGTCGTAAGTATTAAAGTATGCACTGCTTAACTCTGGGAGTTACCAGCTCACATATTACGTTATCTACTATTCATACTTCAAAATATCTTAGTACGTCAATATATTTTTTTCTCATTGGACATTGCATATTTATATTACTCGGCTCAAATAATCACATGAACAACGACCGTTACCCATTGCTTAGAAGACAATTGGATTTGGCTGATTAAATCATTACAACGATAAAGAACAAACTAGAATAAAAAGGCGCGAATCAGAGAATACAATCGCTCCACATAGTGCCTTGCCTCTCAGTGGGGTGCAGGAATATATAAAGATAGGGCCTAGGAAAAATATTGTTCGTCCCATGCATTTCTAATCAACACAGAAAACGGTTGGTGCTGCTTGACTCAGTGACCCAACTAATTTTTGGTACGATTATTCAAAATACGTTTGAGTACTGAACAATAGACTGGTATATTGATTTATAATCTATTAACTCCCCCTTAAGATAACAGGAATGACAGTCGGATTCTTACTATGACGTTATTATGATGCAATTTTAGTTTATGTTGCACAGTTGGATTCATGCAGATAACATCTTAATCTTCCAAATTAAGTCAAAGGTTGAAAGCCCCTTTTATATATTGGGTACTTTTGAAATTACTGGTATGGAGGTGAAGTAGCTAGTCAGAAGTGCATTTCATGGGCTAAGAAATGGATCAATTTCTAAAGGATTAAAGTAGTATACATATGAACGAGTACTTGTGGATTTTATTCGGTAGCCCAACATACTTTCTCATCTACACTTGTGTTCTCACTCGAGTAGTCAGTTGTGGGGTTGGCGCGTAGCACGTCATGTATCAGCTTTTGGACACCAGCCCATCACAATTACGATCACCACCTTAACAAACTATTTTACTTGTTTACCAACAGGACTTACCGAGTTAGATCTATTTGTAAAAAAGGGGACTAGTTAACGGTCGATATGAGTGGTTTTCCACGAAACATCTGATCTAAGAGTATTCCAAGTAGTCCAGTTTTTCCGATAAGAATAATTGGATTAACGTCTCTTGGAAGTGTTTTAATATACTCTAAGTCGACTTTATGCGAAACAAAATATCCGACTGGATAAAGTTAGCAAAATATTGTTTAGATACTCGATCGATTACATTCGAATTGACGTAAAATTCTACTAAGGAAAAGAGCAAATGATTCTATTCACCATCCGTGTAAGCCTCGAATAAAGAGGGTTCTCTACCAATTACTAAACTTATTATTCTGATATCCTTGAGTATGAAGTGTCATACTCAGAATCGTCTTACACCGACTTTCATGACCGCATAATGATTACTTTTTTGGTCCAAACTCTAACTACCTAATCCTGATACCTCACTTTTACTATCGGACAGTTTATGTGCGAATTAGCAGGTTTATTATTTACAAGGTGATATAAATTTAAGGACATCGTGAAACGAGAGGATACTGACCATCTAAACAAAATTGAAACAGCATCAATTGTAATTTGAGAGTAATCTAAGGTGTGGTGAAGGATGGTACGCATATTAGTGACAACTGAGTGGAAATCGTCTGCATCTAGTCCCTAAAGTTTATAAGAAATACCTTATGTGTAACCAGAGTGAATGTGGCATGCTTTGTATGCTAAATTACAAGAAACACCTATTCCTGATGAGAAATGCATGTGTGCTCCATGTGACTCGATGCTTAATCAGATGGATTTGTATCAATAAAATGTATTGTGACACTCTAATCACATATCTTAATCGTAGCTCATAATCCTGTCTCATCATATAATACCTGAGCCTAACCTTTTATCGTTTAGTGTAATAAGTAGTTCAATATGTACGGATTCACTAATCACATCGAAATGATTTATTCACTGTTATTCCATTAATTTTAATTATTTTATAACGAAATACTGACTTGTGACATTATATTGAACACATAAATATAGTACAAGAGGGCACCAAATATATATGAGCCACACAGATTTGTGACTGACAGATAAATTACAACAGGTTGCTAGGATAGTTGGGTTTCCCCAGAAATTCTCCAGTGTTTTGACATTTGCAAAATATTTACTGATATTGTGGTCTTACTGTTATTTATATCTTAATTTAACTGTAGAATATGTTATATTCGACTAGACAGTGATATCAACTAACGTATTTTCAAACTTGAATAAACCTATTTATTCTAAACAAAATTTCTAAGCTCTAACATATTAAGCACACTGAGATTGACAAAATCAAAGACCAACGTGATATTTGTAAGCTGATGAAAAAAAAATAGTTGTAAGATAGAACAGAAACATAATAATAAAAGTAACAGAACGAGATTAACCAGTTCCAATAGGATATTTTCTAAAGTAATATGAACTAAGTAGGGAAAGATTACATGCAGTATAAAGATGAAAAAACCAGAGGAGCCTAAGAAGAAAAAGATGACTGTTATACATGTTGAAGTCAAGGTGTCATTCATAAAAATCAGTTCGTGCTTTACAAATTTCTGAACCCTGAAATTCTTGATAGGTTAGTTATTTCAGCGTACTGACATGTGGAATGTCTCAGTATCTTTCTCTGTGATATCGTACCAAATCTTTTAAGTCATATAAAAATCAGACTGATTTGTCAGGTGGTGTAAGATATGGTCGCTGGTACAAAAATACACATCTAGCTGGGAATCGCATTTACCTATCTCATTGTGATTAACGGTCTACCTGGAAATAATTTCATTGTAATTGGCAATCTACGTGGAATTTTTACACTTCCGAGAAAGCAATCCGTAGAGATAGTTATATATTTTTGCATATTGACTCAAGTACCAAATAGCACGAAACGTAGATCTAAGGTCCTCTGTTGTCTACCTCCAATAATTGCCTTTGTTACAGAACTGATAGGATCGCCCTCGATAGAAATTACCAAGTTTCTTAAGATGTCGAGTCTTTATTCACCAATATCTTACTAGACAAGTCTGTAGATCTCTTATGTAGTTACACTGAAAGGAAGATTTTCAAAATAACAGAATAGAAAGACTGCTACTCCTATCCACACAAAAATGTGCAGTTCCATTTCAATGGGAAGTATTTAGGACATACAGGTGGTTAGAGACCTTGAATGACATGACTCGAAATCGGTTGCATTGGCGCAGGTGCATCAACTCTTTGTGTTCTCCCAGATTCTAATCTTCTGAATTCTTCATGCCCCTTTCTTTTTTCTCTTTCTAAATATATTTCACTGGATTATACTCCTTGAATAACATCTTCAAACCCTAAA